TTTTAGTCAGGGTGCTTTTCTGTGAAAAGCATCAGACAGCTTTGATTACTTCATTTGTAATTTTTTTTTTCCCGCAATTTGGATAAGAGGAATTGCTGTTGGATTTCATCTATAAAAATTCTATGAAGAAATCTGGAATTAGATTTTCAGTGTCTTTCGTCTCTGTCTTGCACAAGTATAAGAGCTTCAGACTCTTTTAAGTTCGCTGAAATTGCCTATTTCAGAAATAGGTGGAAGGAATGTTTTTCTTCATTGGTGATTTGCAGAGTCGCAAAACTTATTTTGTTTTGTAGGATTAGCATATATACGTACACCTAATTTGTCTTGTGTACTGGTGAACTTGTACGCTCATTTGCTCACGGTATTTGTATATCTTATTTGTATATCTGATGTTTTAATGACAATACGACGAGGCTTCTACTTGGATACTTTTCCAAAGTTTTGTAAATTAGTTGCATTTTAATTTTTTTTTTTAAATATCTCTCATCGAGACCGACACATAAATATTGTAATAAGAGATTGGCTTAACATTAGTCAAGTTTTCATGAGGTAGAGGATTCAAGTTTGTTTGCTATGACAATTAAGTGTCTACAAGGAAAGGACAAATTTGAAATGAAATTATGATCTCTCTTTCAAATGTTTTTTGATTTTATATGGGGAAAATGGGTTATTAATGTCACAAAATATGAAAGTGGGAGAGGGTAGTAATAGTTTCAAGGTTCAAAAGATGTTAATTCAAGTTATTCAACTGTTTTTTTTTTTTTTTTAACAAGGAAAGAGTAGGATTTTAAAAAGTAAAGGAAAGAGAGTAGAAAGATAAAAACTCAGAATCTCGTCAATTAATTTGTTAAATTGATTTTTATTGTAGATATACGCGAGTCCAAACGATCACTCAGAATTGTCACACACACACACACAGGTATTTATTTTATTGTTATCTCAAATCCAATATTAAAGCAACAATACTAGTATTTAGAAACAAAACTAAAAAAATTATGCCATCAATTCCATATTACATGGCAAAAGAAAAAGAGAAAGAAAAATTACTCATGACAAAAATTTTAAAGAAATGTACTACTACTAATTGTAATCTTTTTTTCTTTAGAAAAATGAAATTCCCAAATATTCTAACACGATCTCGATAAGTCTCGCTTTGATTCAAACCCATGCGAGTTAAGCTCGAGTTCTACGAGCAATGTATCGAACTCAAGTTCAAACTCCAGCCAGTAATATTAGGGGTGCAAACGAGTCGAGCTCGAGTCGAGTTTTGGCTAATCGAGCCGAGCTTGAGTTAATTTTGTGAAACTCGAACTCGAGCTCGAGTTTAAAAAATAAAAAAATAATAATTATTATTTTATTTTTAAAAAATAAAAAATTATTATTTATTTTTTAAAATTAATAAAACAATAATTTTTTTAACAAATAATAAAATATTAGGGATATATATGTAATTTTACTATTAAAATAAAATATATAAAAAATAAATATATAATTGAGCTCGCGAGCCGCAACGCGAGCTAACGAATTTAATGTTTTTGAGATCGAGCTCGAGCTCGAGATCGACTTAATTAGCTCGAGCTCGAGTCGAACTCGTATTCGAGTCGCTCGCGAACGGCTCGATTCTCGAAACACCCCTAAGTAATACTACTCGCTCGGGCTCGAACTCGAGCGTCTTTTCTGAAAATCAAGTCGAGCTAGAGTGTGATGATACTCGGGCTAAACTCGAATCGATTATATTTCCCTTGCATAATTACATTTGAATTCTTTTCCCATGCAACTTTAATTGTCCAAAACACTATTAGTATACTACTTGAAACCTCTTTACCCTATTCCTTATTGGGCACCTATTAAACAAACTTAACACGATATTAGTATCAATAATTACACATTTACACGGGCAGAATTAATACTGGCGTCGCCATAAATACTAATTAAAGTACATTCAACTATTACTAATAATAATAAAAAAAAAACTAGTACTAATAATACAACTTTACTAGTGTGAATACCCGTGCTACGCACGGTGCTGACATTATTGAAAAAATGAAAATAAAATGGTGAATTAAAAAAGGTTAAAAAATTGTACCAATACAATTAAAATATAATATCTGTCTAACAATAGTTTGAAATATGATAGAATGCATATATTATTCAAAAATTACCTTTTTTCGGAAGATAGATCTTGAAAAAATAATAGAAATTTATATTAGAAAATGAATGATATATGAATAAAAATGAATGTAATTAAATATTGTTAAAATAAAATATTTACAAATATTATGCATTTGATTTGATAATCTTGTATGAAGGTGCGAACACTCTTCACACCAATCAACTTTTAGTACGAAAGCCAAAATTGGTGATTTAATTAATTCTGTTGAATTTTGTGAAATGTGTACTACAAATGAAAATGCACGATCTTTGCATGAATTGATTCGTTGGTTGAACAACTTATCACCATTGTCCTGAGAATTAAGTACGTGCGAAATTCAAAATTAGTGTATTTTTTTACATAGTTTATAAATAGCATTATAAAAAATAAACATATATCAAGAAATTCTACTTTCCTTTGTAATTCTCTGAAATAAGAAGCTTTACAATCAAATATGAATCGTGCATGTCTGTCCTAAGATGCATGTTACCATTGGAATCTTTGATTTATATGTTAACATTGTACCTATTTGACAAATAAAATGTTATATACAATACAAAAAAATTTGTTGAAATTAAAGGTACATGAAATTAATTACCTAACAACAATGTGGACCACGTCATTACAATGCATACACGCTGTTTTTGAAAAATGACCTTCACATAGTTATCCACAATTTTTGCATAGCTCATAGAACATGTTTTCTATGTTAATGCTCTGAATGTAAGTAAGTATTCGAAAATATTTAACCTAGTAAGAACGAAAGAAGGTATAGGTTATGATTATAAATTTAACAAATTTGTGCAGTAATTAAATTAAATAGAGTAAGTTTACCCTACGCATGATTGTATATTCGGATATCCATATTCTCTTTGAATTTGCTATTAACAATACTTGTGATGTTGTAAAATTGCTTGACTTCAACCACGTAACTAACTTTCGAGCACATGTATCATTTTCAAACCTACAATTTTTTGAAATACACGTTGATAAGAGTATGAAATAACATTAAAAGTTTGATGTAGTGCTACTGATGGAACTCACCAACTGCGCAGGTATCGAGCAAAATCTAAATTGTAATTGATATACAATTTACTAGTTCCAATTGTACAAAGTGATGATCCTGCATAGCATGGTTATATTCGTTAAAAAACTATTCAAATTATATAGAGTATAAGTAAAAGCATTTGATTTACATCTGAAATTTCGTACGCAAATACCACATGTTAGTAAAATATTATTTTTTTGTGGCAGACTGATGTTATAGGATTTGTAGTATATTCAATAACTTGATACTCAAATCACCGATGAGGCAAAGTTTGTCTCAATAAACTTTACAGTGTTCTAACTCCTTGCAAAAAAAAAAAAAAAAGCACTAAATAGTCCTAATTGGCATCGTAAGTTACGGAAACGTGTCAGTGGCATCTACGCCTAATTTTTTTGGGGTCAAAATCTAGTCCTAATTGGTTCTATTGTTTATTGATCATGTTGTATGCTTGCGAATTAAAATTGTATTAAAATACCATGTGAATGAACATTTGTCTTTAATGAAGGAGTAAAAAGGATTTAAAGTATAAGTAATAAACTATAAACGGTTTATGAAATAGATTATGGGAAAGTTTTAAATTTTAAATTTGACTGGTGATAGGGTTGGTTATAACCCACTACTTTTTATGTATTAAAATAAATACAAAAATCTATAACCCACTACCTGTTACGTTCTTGAGATTTTTTTAGGGTTAAATATAGTAAATCCCTTAACTTTACTTTTAACTGCACTTTACTCCCTCAACTTTATATTTAATTGCACATTTGTGATTTTTTTGAATCGTGATTGTAATTTGCAAAACTCATTTGTAGGGGTGGTTATAAAGTTAGTGTGGTGACAAATATTTCTTATTTATAAAAATGTAATATTGTATTAAAATAGCATACGAATGAGCATTTGTCTTTAATTAAGGAGTAAAAAGGATTTAAAATATAAATAACAAACTGTAAACAATTTATGAAGTAGATAGTGGGAATATTTGAAATTTTAAATTTGATTGGTGATAAGGTTAGTTATAGGGAAAATGACCTGTTTCATCTCTCACATTTCGCAAAAATATTTTTTTTGTCCCTTACTTTTAAAATGAAGCAAATTCATCCATAACATTTAAAAATTAAAGTTATTACATCTCTGAACCTAATTTTCAATCTGAATCAAACTATCCAATAACCCAGTAATAAAATTTCAAAAATAGAATTGATAGATCATTCGGTTAATTTCATCATATTCACATGACATTTATTAAACCAAAAAAATAAAAATTATAACATAAAAGGCCATTCTTTGTCTTGGAATAGTAGAGTTTTTTTTTTTTTGATAAATTTTTTCATGCACCGTTAGTATATCCGCTTGCGAATTTAGATGTGTATTATAAATATAAAATTTGGTGTTTAAATGTAAATTAAAATGATATGACGGTACATAAAACCGTCAGTGTATACAATGATAATGTAGAAAAAATTAATATTTTTTTTATGTTATAATTTTTTATTTTTTATTTTTAGATTCATTAAATTTCACATGAATACCAAGTTGAGTTAACTAAGTGATATATCAATTACACCCCCAAAATTTGTAATCAGGTTGATTGGTGGTTTGATTCAGATTGAAATTTGGGTTTAGAGATGTAATAATTTCAATTTTTAAATGTCAAGAACGATATTGCTTCATTTTAAAAGTGAGGGACGAAAAGAATACCCTTCTGTAATGCATATTGATATAGATTGGATATTTAATCTGCTTTAAAATAGTACTCCACTAGTTTATTAATTATTAGTAGTAGTATCATATATATAATCTAGGGTTCTTCCTTCCCGTCGGATTCCATTATTATTTCTCCCCAATTCCACCAGCCACCCAAAAACGCACCCTTTTCTCTCACACGCCAAAAGCCAAAGGCTCAGGCAAATTTCCGCCAATCAATCATGACGGGGAAAGCCAAGCCAAAAAAGCACACGGCCAAGGAAATAGCGGCGAAGATCGATGCAGCAACCACCAACAGGGGCGGAGGGAAGGCTGGTCAGGCCGACAGGTCCGGCGTGGAAAAGGGCGGGCACGCCAAGCTCGAATGCCCTCACTGTAAGACCACAGCTCCCGATCTCAAGTCTATGCAGATTCACCACGATGCCCGGCATCCCAAGATCCCTTTTGATGAATCTAAGCTCAATAATCTTCACGCTAGCAATTCTGGTGCTGGTGCTGCTGCTGCTGAGCCTAACAAGCCTAAACCCGGCGTCCGCGGCAGCTTCAAGAAGTGAACTTTGATCGCATCATCAGCAGCAGCAGCAGCTTGATCATCGAGGAGTCTGGTTATGGCGGTAGTAATACTACTACTACTGGCAGTAGTTATGTTTGTGATGACATCAATATGAATAATGATTTTAGTGTTATGATGATGATGTTTTTCCAATCAGTTGTTGTTTTTAATGGTGTTTCTTGTTGGTGTAGCGTTGTTGTTATGATGATGATGATGATGGATATCAATGGTAATCAATATGTGCCATGTAATTATTGACGATTATTTTACTGCTTCCTCTATTGTGTGTTTGCTGACTTGCTTGGTCTTAATTTAGTTTTGCCCCATTATGTTATATAAGGACATTGATTTTGTCCAAATTCATCATTCAGAATTGTGTCTTAGTGTGGTGTCGTACAAGTCTAAGGATCATAATTTTGGGCAAAGTGTCAACATTGTTGTGTTCTAGGTTAAAGTCAAAGTCTTAATGTGGAAGGTTTCTACTTTCAAGTAGTGTGTTGATGAATTTGGGTGGTTGTGAAGCTTTCTCCATTTTTCTGTCTTTGAATAAGTTGTGTTGCCAGGGATGCTAGTATCCCAAGTAATACTGATGTAATTGGCCACTGTTAGTTCTGTGATTGTGTTCTTTGGGAATGGGCAGAGGAGGAGGAGGGGCCTTGTCAGTCTATGATGGTTATGAACCTAGACTTGGCACATTCTGTCTTAGTTTTTAGGTTGTCTGTTAGATGGGATGCATGTGTCAGACTCACGGTTATTTGTGCATCTTGTCATTTTATGCTTTTCTTGCTGTGAGTTGTAGATCCTTGTAAAGCTTTTCATGGTATGTATATGACACGTCAGTATCTAATTTCATAGGTCAATGCTTCTCCATCTATCCTTTCTTGAGATTTCTAATTTGAAGTAGTAATCTGTCTCTGTTGTGATTTCGAGCAACTTTGTTTTTTGGGGGGAGTAGTTGAGTTCCTCATTCCGATAAAATTGTAGTTTCTGCCGATGAAAATTTGTTGATACTGTTGGTTTTTACTTGGATCTCATACGAAGACATGTCAAAAATTTTTTGCATGCAGAATAATGATATCTTGTTCATACTGTGTGTGGTCCATGAGTCACAAACTGGACCAAATATGTGTAGCGATTGGTTGGATTGCTTGTGTTTACTTTGTCAACTAATAGTAGCTGAATGCTATGGATGAAGTTATGCCTTCACATGCTCGTTATGCCTTCACATGCTCGTCTTATGTAACTAGCTTGGTTGGTGTTTTTTACATGCCTTCCGAGCATTGCCCTGTACATGTGGTTCACTACCTGTTTTCCTTTTGCCTTCCTCTCATATTTCTGAAATAATCAGTCAAGGTTGCTGAATCGCAGCACAGCTTTTGTATTTTTTTAACTTATTTGCTTTTGTGTCCAACTAATCTTAGTTTATACCTTTGTTTTGGTATTGTTTATAGATGATTCTTAAATCCTTGGGCCCTTTATTCACAATTCATTGCTTGATAAATTAGTAGGTACTGTGGCTGGATTGTTTGTTTCCCGTTTGTGGATATTGAAAACCATCATAGATTTCTAGATTATTCAATCCAACTCTGCTACCCCTTTTTATTTTTTGCAATGTCAAATCTCTGTTGTACTGGTAGTTAATTGTTTATGCCACGAAATATTTTAACTCCACAATTTTTTGTTCTCTGAGTGTGATGGGAAGTAGTGATTACTAGGAAGTCTTAATTTGACATACATGTCAATGGAAAGCGCATGTGGTAGTCGGGGTATCTCGTTTATTTTTTGTCTGTTGTGATGATTATACACTAATTGGCATTAGTACGACTGGACGGGCAACTGAACTTCTTGTCAGTTTGTTAGAACATTTGCTTAATCAGGTTCAGCTAACACTTTGATTGTATTCTCCATTGCTTTCTCTTCGGGGTGCTGCATGGATTGGGCTATTTATTTGGAAAGCTTTATGACAGTTCTTATTGTTTGTGTCCTCAGCCATCTTGTTGCATCTCTTCTTTCTGGAGTTGAGCATTATTTACTTGGCCATGCTATATTTCCCAGTTTTGTTTGATTAGTGCTACAAGGTTCCGTAATGGTACAGACAAATATGATAATGGGCAGCAGTGGAAACCGGTTATAGAGTTATGCGCCTTCTTTATAGTGCACATCCTGAAGGCCATATCTATCTTGATGAATGAATGATACAAGCGAAAGTGCATGTACTACTATATGCTTCCACAACATGTGAAATATTAAAAATCGAATTTGAATTTGAAATCCAAATTTTGCATAGTGCATCTAACCGTGAAAGTGTATATACTGTGAAAGTGTATATACTGTTAGTGAGTATAAGATGTACTTTAATAAAAATTTGTAATGTGTTTTCGTTGAGAGAAGATGAGAAAGAAAGATATAAGCGAAAATGTATACTGGAGGAACGAAAAGGGTATCAAATCACCAAATCAGTTATACATTAAAACTTTTTTAATTTATAAATTGTCTGACAATATGTGAATTGGTACATCAAACAATGGGATTACGAAGTTTGTATTCGAGGAAGGACTTGGATTGGTTCCATTCAGTTGAGAGTGCCAGAAAGCAAATTTCTCCAGAAAAGCAATGAGACCTGTAGTGCTATTCGTGCTTGGGGCTGTGAATAGCCCAAGCTTAGCCTATATTATACGTGTTTCAGTTTACTCAGGTCAAGAGTACCCATCTTTGCTTCACAAACGTCAGATTCAGCGGGGAAGTCTGTTCACAAACTTTGGACTTTAATTCTTTTTTTTTTTTTTTTAAAAAAAGAGGCAGTTAAATGAAATTTGACTGAATATTAATTAATGGTAGCATAGAGGTTGAAACTTGTACAAACGTATATTAAACATTTTCTATTTCTTTAAAGTAAATACTAGCAAATAGAGAGATGGGACATCTAACATAGATAAATATAGGTCCTGGCATTGTGTATTTTTCGGGCTAATCTAAGAATGAACCAATCTTAGCAGCCCCTAATGTTTAGGTCCCGACTCAGATAAACTAGGCCGTGGACAGAAATATATATATATATTTTTTACCTGTAACGATAGACCTTACATTTATTTTATTTTATACTATAGGGTAGGGGCATCTGAAGAGGTCCAGAGAAAAATTGGGGGAACTAAATCACTTACCGGCCCAAACGAGTGTGCGACGCAGTCGCCCGGTAGCCACTTGAAATAGCCTGCCACATTTAATGGCAAATGGTAGGACGCAGGGTTTGAACCCTGACCTCCCACCCCCACCAAGCCCGTAGACAGAAATATGAGATTACTTCTTTGCTTTTTTCCCCTAGAGTCTATCGCTAATTATTTAGGCGTTAAATATTTTTAGATTTTAAGCCCATTTGTGGCCTGAAACTTATAAAAGAATTGCGTGAGCAAAAACAAGAATAAAAGCCCCCTAACAGGTGATACACTGCAGAAGCAGTATATTAGGGTTCTTATTACTTGCAAAACCTAAGAGAACCAATTCCTGCAGCCCTCCGTGTACTCGAAAACAAAAGCAGTTTCCCCTTTTCTTACCCCAAAGAGAGAGAGAGAGAGAAAAAAAAAAAAGAGAGAGAGAGAGAGAACAAAAGCAGAGCACATCATAGAGTGCTTTTGCGCCATATAATCATCCAATACCAAAGGGTGAGTAAATTTATCAAGAAATACTTCTCCGTCTCCATTTTTGTAAATTATGAACCGTACAATCCTTACAAAAAATCATATAATTCTTAAAAGAAGAAGGCATATATACTAACATAATCTAGTCTGCTTACTCGTAAAAAAACTACTGCTACTACTACTTAGATGAAATCAAAAGAGACAAGACTCGTTAATCTCTTAAGACCCCTTCACGTTCCCTCGTGCATGCATGGATGCATTCGTATTCTTGCACTGCGGTGGTGGGATTTGGGTGTAGTTCTGCAAACCCCAGACATCATCTTGCCAAACAATCTCTTCTCCATCTCCATAGTTGAGAATATGGTGGTGGATTTCGTCCAACTTCTTGCTGTTCTGGTATTGCCAGTTCTGCAACTCCACCTCATTGCGCACCCACTTTGTCCAACTTTTCATACCCCAAAATATTTCTTGTCTGTTCTTCTCAAACTCGATGTCTTCGGGTGCCCATTCCCTTGAACCATTCTTCTTCGCTGCTGTTATCTCTTCTGATTTAGACCCCATTAATGCTGTTTTGGCTGTTGTATTTTGCCCTTCTTTTTCTATGGCTGACATTATTGTTTTCTCTCCAACTCTTTAGTATGGAGGCCAGGATGTGTATGCGTTATTGTGTTATTGTGTGTGTGTGTGTGTATATATATATATTTGCTAAGCGAATTTCAAGTCGGCATCGTTCCCGAATCCGATATGTGCAAGGAAAACTTTTTTCCCGAGAAATTAGAAAACAAGGAAACTAACAAATAAAAAAAAAGAGCTGCCTATTTTGCAAGTTTGCGATTAACTACTAATGTGTCAGGACTAGTAAGGAATTTCATAAGTCGAACCCAAATTTATTACAAGTACAAGTGGTAATTTTTGGATTCCGATTTTCTCACTATTTGATGTCTTTTCAAAAAACTATTTTAAACTTTTGAGAATTGGCACTTTGAATTTGAGGATGTAGTGCTAGAATATGGTTTATTTTTAGGGTAAAATATAGTAAATCCTTCCTTTGATTCATCAAAAGGACACGACCCCCTTATTGTTCAAAAACACCTAAATAATTCCATTGTATTCTCAGTTTAACTTCTACTTCCAAAAAAATAAAAAATAAAAAAAAATAGAACTAACACTTGTTGCTTCTTAGCAAATGCCTAACTAGACAACCTTTTGCGTGTCAAAATTATCGCAAATAAATTGAAACCCAAATCATTAAATTGCCCTAGAAAAAAAAAATGGAAATATTGATAAGATCATTTTGATTAGGTATTTTGAGGCAATCATTTTTTCAAGTGAAAGCAAATTTGGAGAAGGACAGGTTACACATTCTAGGGTGAGACATGCCGTTTTCAGTGGCTTGCAGTAGTTGACTATGATGACAAAATTCTCACCATCAGAAAATATGCACAAAACAGCCACTAACCAAAAGTATATTAGATTATAACATCTCAAGAAGTCAAAGCACAAAAAATTGAATTTTGGATGATTCAAATAAATCAACCGAAAACCAAAATCTACTAATACTAGACCATAAAACTAACAGCTGAAAACTATCATGGCAGATCTTCTCTATTTTGGATTCATGAGCTCAAAATCACTGAACCCATAATTTTCATCCCTTTGAGAA